CAGGTAAGATCTATCAAAAAGAATATCTATGGGGGTATAGCTCAGTGGTAGAGCATTTGACTGCAGATCAAGAGGTCCCCAGTTCAAATCTGGGTGCCCCCTGCTTTAATCATTTGGTTTAGCACATTCTGAACAAAAATTTCATGAACAGAAGTACTGAGTTGCCTATTGTTTAGGTCTCTGCCTTGAAGAGACATTTAAAGTGGACATATTTTTTTTTGCCCAAATAAGGTTGTCAAGCCCAGCGGCTCTAAAACTGGGGGTCATGGCTCTATTGGGTGCCTATACAGAGCACCACTCAGGTTTTAGAAAGTTTGAAGAAAAAAAAACAAAAATATATATTTTTTCTAATTCACTGTTGAAATGTAATGCTATTTTTTTGCGTGCCTCATTTCAAAACAAAACTTATAATATAATATACCATATTACCACGACAGATCCAAGGGACCCAAAATTTGAACTAGGAGGCTGTTCCTCTGGCTAACTATATAAGTAAGGTTTATACAACCTGGGCTGATTAGGGATTCACCTGGACTTTTAAAAGTACCTCTTAGATATTTCTAAGGAGCTTTGCAGCCACAGTAAAAGAAAACCAAAAAAAAATAATAAAATTGTCAGGAAAACATTTGAAATTACAATGAAATGTCTGCTCCTATATACATTTAAAAACAACAAAATTAGCACGGACATAGCTGATAATATGTTGTATATTATCAGCTTGAAAAACTTGAAAAAACTGACCTTGATGGAAAAAACTGGACACAAAAGGAAAACAATCTAACAGGAAAAGCACTCTGAAAGAGCAGTCCTCCACCAAGCAGTAGATTTCCCCCCATATTGTCACTTACAGTCATACCTAAAACTAAGATATTCAGGAAAAAAATTCTATTAGAATCTGTTCATAACTTGTAACAGTTATCCGTTACACAGACAGATAAACAAACACACTCACAGAAACACAACCAAAAAGACCATTTTTGCATATGTGATGCAGTATACAGATAATCCTATGGCGCTTGTTGAAAATGTGGGGGTATAGCTCAGTGGTAGAGCATTTGACTGCAGATCAAGAGGTCCCCAGTTCAAATCTGGGTGCCCCCTCAAATGATTCACTTTGTCAAAAGACCATCTTTGTAAGCTGACTCAGGGAAAATGGTTTAGATGGGCTTCTGTGCAACTTAACATATAGTTCCAACATTTTTTTGAAGGCATACATATTAAAGCAGATTTTTGAATCAGAACATTTGTCTAACTTGATTCACTACTTTTCTGCAGTGTCCAAAAATGTAGCTAACTTTGAGTAACACTGAAAGGTGCTAGCTTCAGTTAAAAATATACAATCAGTCTGAGGATGTTGCCTCAGTGCAAGGAAAAAAGGGAAATATAACTTCATTCCATCAGTGCATTTAATGAAGGGAATCACATATTGAGGTTAGCACTTGTCTTTTTTGGGAGGAAAACTTAAGGAAATACTCTGTGAATGATTGTTTTCCCCTTCCAGAACAAATCTTGTTTTTCTTTCTTGTTTGATTAAAAAATAAAAAAATAAAATGTTCCTTTTTTCCCCCCAACAAATGTTTCTGATACCAAAAACAAACTGAAGCTTAGTCTCATCTGACAAAAGCCCCCAATGTCACATGTCCCATGTGTCCCCTGCAGGGCATGGTCCATTGTACTAGTTTTTTGTCTAGTTTTTGTTATTTTGCTTAAAAATCCTCACCCTAAAAAAACATTGAGATTTGTGATTACAATTTGAGAAATTATTTAAAAAAAAACCTCAGAGTATGATAATTTTGCAAAGACAAAGCTGCAATAATGTTGATTTATCTTTAGTGGGGGTATAGCTCAGTGGTAGAGCATTTGACTGCAGATCAAGAGGTCCCCAGTTCAAATCTGGGTGCCCCCTCATATGAAATACATTGTCAAAAGACCGTCTTTATAAGCTGACTGAGGGAAAACATTTTAGATGGGCCTCTGCGCAACTTAACATGTAGTCTAAATTAACACAAGTCCCATCATCTTTGCATATCAAAGCAGATTTTAATCAGAACATTTTTCTAAGCTGATTCACTACTTATCTGCAGTGTCCAAATGTAGCTAACTTTGAGTAACACTGGAAGGTGCTAGCTTAAGTTAAAAATATACATCAGTCTGAGGATTTTTCCTCAGTGCAAGGAAAAACAACAGTTTAAACACAAAGTCTGTGTAAAATCAATTAGTCTCTTTAAAGAAAATAAAAAAATCCAACTCTAAAGGTCAAACTTGGGAAAGATCATTTAATTTAACGAAGGGAATCACATATTGAGGTTAGTACGGTACTTGTCTTTTTTGGGAGAAAAACTTAAGGAAATACTTAAAAAAAAACGTGAATGATTGTTTACCCCTTTCAGAACAAATCTTGTTTTTCTTTCTTGTTTGATTTGGTTGCTTAAAAAAAAAAGAAAAAGAATTCCCTTTTTTTCCCCCAACAAATGTTTCTGATACCAAAAACAAACTGAAGCTTAGTCTCATCTGACAAAAGCCCCCAATGTCACATGTTCCGTGTGTCCCCTGCAGGGCATGGTCCATTGTGGCAAATCTAGTTTTTTTTATTTTGCTTAAAAATCCTCACCCTAAAAAAACATTGAGATTTGTGATTACAATTTGAGAAATTATAAAAAACCTCAACGAGTATGATAATTTTGCAAACACAAACCTGCAATAGTATTAATATATCTTTTCAAGTAAATACAGCAAATAAGTCAAAATATATTAAAGCTTGTCATGTTAAAGGAAAGTTTTTAAAAAATCTTTTTATCAACACTGTAAACACAGGAGGAACTTATACATATACAGTATGTATAAGTACACATATACAGTAATAAATATACCAAATAATTAACACTGGTAGATTTTTCTGTTAGGCTTCATATCTAGTTTATCCATACAAATATCAGTTATAGTTATCAGCACTCACCACAGCCTGCTTGTATGAATTTGACAGAATGCTGTGGACTCTAACTTGGCCATGCCTGACGTCAGTCATGTCAAACCACAGGTCCTGGCTTCGTTGATCCTCAGGGCCAAAGCTTCGCCAAGTGTAGTACTTCCCAGAATCCTTCTTTAAGACATGAAATAAGGCGGATGAGAGGTTATAAAAGACCTCATGAACATGTTTAAAAGTCTCACTGTTTTATACATTTCCAAGCTTGTGTAAGGGAGTAAATATTTCTTTCCAAAAGAGGGCCCTGTTTAACCTCAACTAAAACAAATACATCAGGTTACCAACCAAGGTGCTATTATGTGTCTTAAATATTTACTGCGCGAAGAAACATTGTGAGGCCGGACTCACCACTACATGTGTGATGTTGTTTGGCAAGGTGTTGATTGTGAGTCCTCCACCCAGAACTGCCCTGCTGGTCCTGCCTGAAAAAGATCTCCGGGCTCTGAAGCCAGCAGTTAAGTCTTCACGCTGCTGTGGGATCACACTGTACGCGCCATCTGTTAGGAATAAGTGTGAATACTTTTTGTGTGTGTATAATGCAGCCTTTCAACAAAATCCCATGTCAGTTTTATTGAGACTCTAAGATGTGATGTTTACAGCTGTGGTTTGTGTGCTCAGAAATAAAAACTTTCTTTTGAGTTTGCCTGCCTTGGATTTGTTAGTAAAAGCCGTTGTTGAATTGCGGCCCGAGACAACACAACAATGTTTTTTTTCTGCTTTGAGTTGACTTGTCAAACCCTTCTATCAAAGCTTACCATAGCTGGTAAGCAAACTGGGGTAGGTAGGCTTTAGATTGAACTTTTGGGTGTTTTAATTGACCACTCCAGCGTCTTTCAAACCACATCTTCCTGGTTTATGTTAAAAAAGTTTATTTTTGCAGCATACCCTGTTTTTATGGTGTGGGGAAAATTCATGTTTTGCTGGTATATTTATACTCATTTTTTATTTAATTCTGTAGACAACCTTGTCCTTGCATTACCTCAACTTTATGATACAGAGGTACAAAGTGGTAGTTTTGACATTGAATATTTAAAGGAGAACCCTGGAGAGCGTCTGAGTCATCTTTTCTTCACAGTGAAGCTCTGTGGGGATCTTCGGGGATCCATTCATATTAGTTGTTAAGTCTTTGAGCAAGATATTTCACACACCTGCTGTTTGTGGTCAGGAAGCCTGGCTTCTGTCAATTCACCCCAATCCTACAGTGGCTACAGTGTAGCTTACCACCATCAGCGTGTAAATGGGTGAACATCTAACATCTATAAAGCTCTGTTGAGTCCTCAGACTTGATTAATTGCCTTACAAGTACAGACCATTTACTATTTCAGGTTTCACAACAACATTCTTTTCAGGTTTGGGTGAGGACTTTCACTGGGGGCATTGCAACAGCTAGATTCCTTTCTCTTTATGCCATTCTGTAGACGGTTGGCTGTTGTGTTTGGGATTATTGTCCCTTTGATGTCCCTGTGTGGGCCAAGCTTCAGCTGTTAAACACATGGTCCATGTCTAAATACTTTTGTACCCATAGGAGTCATTTGATCAATGACTCTGAGTTGCCCATGTTATTTGGTTGCAAAGCCCAAATCATCACTTATCCATCGCCGTGCTAGACAGTTTGCATATGGTGTTTTTGCTGGTTTGATGTTATTATTTTTTTTTTTTTGACAAAATATTTGCTTTTGTTTCACTGGTCTAAATGATTTGTTTTCAGAAGTCCTTTGTTGTATTCCTCTGTAACATTTTAAACCACAACAGTACTTTTCCGCACAACTATTCTAAAGGAAAAAAATATTTATATATATTACTCATTATTTGCTGTTCTTTCATTTGTTTAAACATACTAACCAAGGCATTTAGAGTTTGAGAAGGAACCCTTGGTAATTTGGCATTGACCTCCATTCTGATAGGCAAGTATTCTATAAATTGTTGACCTATGACTGTCAACTGATAGATATACTGTATACTTAGAGGATATTTATCAGGTTTTTTTTTTTGTTTTTTGTTTTTTACTTTATTCATCTCACATTGGAGAAATGTACCTATGGATTTAACCCATCCCCTCGGGGAGCAGTCGGCCACCATTGTGGGGCGCCCGGGGAGCAACATGGGATTAAGGGTCTTCCTGAGAGACCCAGAGTGGCAGTCTGTGGGAGTGGGGCTCAAACCCTCAGGATTCCAAGTTGTATGCACTAACCACTTGGCCACCACTCCCCCGCCATTTCAACAGTTAATGAAGTAAAAAGATAAAAGACAATTTAACGTCTAACCAGGACGACCCAATAATAATCTATTAGCAATCACAGCTATAGAGATTTAATAGCTGCTATACAACAGCTAGACAACCAATCCACAATGTCATCAAGACAAAGCGAGCAGAGGTGTAGCCAGAACATTTTTAGACTTTGTTTTTGGGCCACTGTATAAAGCTTTAAACTAAACGCTAATTCTGACATTTTGAAATGAAAAAGCTTCCTGGATGGGAAGCGAAACTTCTTTAAACTTGGGAATAAAGTCCAGCGAACTGTTTTTATTTTTATTTTTTTACTTTTGCAGAATACCTTAAATTGTATTACCTTATTGAGAGGTATAACTAAATGCTTCTGATTGACTTTGTCATTATGGGCTCATATACTAACTGCCATAATATATAACAATTCTGAAATTATTCCCATAAAAAACCCTCCATATCATGGCAGTACCAATAACTTTGCTCTATTCTAAAAATTAGTATCTTGTGAGAAATATTACAAATATTGCCTGAGAAGTGAAACAAAATATGCTATAATTTATTGAGTTCAAATAATAAATAGCTTAAAAACAAATACACATGATGAGTTTCCTTTGTATTTAAAATGTACACGGTTTATCTCATCAGGTTTTTCCCTAACGGGACACCGTAGTGACGTCTATATTGGCCTATATAAACCCAGGAAACGCTGAATTTTCCGCGGGGTGTTTCATCTAACCCTAGATCAGGAAAGCCTCCTGTACTCCACGTTTGCTGTTTTCTGTTCCTGGCTTTCAGTAGACCACAGGAGGATGTTAGCAGGCGCGGTAACGAGAGAAAAAAAAGCCAGGAAATCACCCCCGAGGCGCTCAGCTGTCTCACTGAAGACCCCGGAGATGTACCGTGGTCAGCCTGGCTGCCGCGAAGAGTTGGTCTCTGCTGCTCCGTGGGATTTTTCCTCAGTGGGGGGAGTGTGTGTCTGAGCAGATTAACTGAGTTAGGTGACCCTTCCGAACCTGCTGTGGTCCGGTTGGGAAACCTGTGCTCAAACACCTGAACAAAGTCGGCCGTTACTGTCCTGCTTGTTTGATGCAGAACAGCCGCAGCTAGTGGACACGGCTAGCTGGCTAGCTAGCTAACAGCTGCAATTGATGAAAACTTTGTTTATTTGGCATTCTGTAGAACGATGTCACTCCTTTTTTTTTGTTTGTTTTTTTTTTTTTGTTTTTTGGAAACGCTGAAGAAAATGTACAATACTTCGCCACAATGTTGAATAAAGATGGTTAATAGAAGGTCCCTGGCTTTTAAGCAAGTCTAAGTGGGCATTTGGCAAAATTTTATTTTAAAATGTATTTTAATTTAAAAACATCTTGTATTTTATCTCCATTCAGTTTTTCTTTTTGTACTGTTTATGTATTTTGGTCTTCAGTTTTTATCCTATGCTCTGCAACCGTGATTCATGTACAGCACTTTGGTCAACCCCGTTTGTTTAAAATTTGTTTATAAATAAAGTTTGAGTTCTTCTTCTATGGTGTTCACAGACTGTGTATTACAGCCATCAACTGGACGGAGATGTAATTCAGAAAAAAAAATCCTATATATATATATATAACAAACTTAAATACATAATACACTCAGACACACAGAAATACTAAATCCTCTTATTTATTTTTTTGTCTTTTAACTACTTAAGTGCTTTAACTATATCATGTGATTGATGCTACTCTAATAAATTAATATTTACTGAAGTCTCCATTACCCTTTCCAGTTCTTTCCTCTATTTTATATATTTTCTACAATAAGTTAAAACATGTTCTACTCCTGTTTCCCCACAATAAGAACAATCACCTGATGGATGTTTCCCTATAATTTTTAAACCACTATTTAATCTTGTATGCCCAATCCTCAACCTGTTTATCCATACTTCCTCTCTCCTATTTATTATACTATGATTTTCATATAATTACCCCCTATATTTTATGTAAATGCCTTCCTCTCCTAAATTAAATCTCTCCTTCCATATATTATTTATTTTATCTTTAATTACTTTTATTTCTACTCTACTTAATGGGACATCATATTCAATTTATCTTGCTTTAACTGCTTCTTTAGCCAACTTATCTACTTTTTCATTACCTACGATTCCTTTATGTGCTGGAATCCATGTGAATGGAATAATTATTATTTGTTGCTTTATACCATATAACAAATAATTAACTTCATCTAAAAGATCTTGACGGGTTTCAGATTTTCCACTTATAATACTTGTTAAAAAGTTTGAGTTGAGTTGAAGGTGGATAGAAATAAAACTTGGGTTCAGAATGTCTCATTTTGGGTTTTGTCTAAGCTTTCTACAAATGCTTGTTCAAATGAACCAGACTAAGGTTTTAATTTAACCTGGCTCAAAAACAGCATCACAGATGAGGACAAAATATAGACTTTATTGCATAAGTGTGAAATTTGCCTTTCAAATAATTGATTTCAGGTGCACCAATTACTTCTGTGACCACAACTAAGTTGAATCCAAAAGCTAGTCAGACCTGCTGCTTGTGCAACAGGTCTCATTTGAGCAATAAGCTCAGCCCTGAAATGTCAATCTAAAATTTTCCACAGTTAATAGTAGTTGGGGGGCTGGGAAAGTTACAAAGATATATAGTTAGTTCACCAATTTTGGACAAAATCCACTGGAGCGGGTGGAGTAAATGTGGGTCTGTAATTCAAAATTTGGTGTGAAAATATTCTCTTGATCAAAACTAAGCATTTCACCACCACAGTCCACTTCAGGGTTTTCTAGTCTACAGATATAACTCCCATGCCCTATTTTTCTTTATCACACCATGTAATTAAAAAAAAAAAAATACTGGAGAAATTAATTCTACATTTGTGCTCTAGACGACTTCAGACAGAGAGTAATTTAAATCTCATAAATGAACTGTGTAAACTGTAGATGTAGCTCTTTAGCTTGTAAAGTTGAACTGTTTTTGGCTCTAGAAGAGCATATCTGGGACGTTGTTGTGGTTTGTTTGACAACGCATCACTCTTCTTGCAAACATCTTCTACTCTCATTCTTTTTAAATAAGTCTTAGTCCAAATTTATAGACCTAAATGGCCGTTGGAATAAGTTCTCCACCCTCTGTGGTGTGTCAGATCATTTGTGGCTCCTCTTTATAAAACCGTAAATCTAGGCATGTGATTTCTGAGCAGCGGATCCACCCTGATGCAGCATCTATTCGGTGAGGGGAGTTTCATCTTAATGGGGGGCTAAACTTTTATACAAAGAATTTAAAGCTATGGGTTTTCTTTGGGAGTTACAGTGCAGCTTTAAAAGCAGATACTCTTAATTCTGTGCAAACATTTGAACGCTTATTTTCTTTTCATAATATTTTTTTTATTGCACATGCTTCTGCTCCTGCTGCTGGTTGGATTTAGAACAGAATTTGAACTTACATGTTGAAAAGATTAAGAAAAAGTCTAATCTTCATGGCAAATGGCAAAAGAATACCAATGTAGTGAATCAGTGTGAAGATTTGATAGGATTATCTGTTCTTTTTGGGAAAAATTTAGAAATAATGTCAAATATAGACTTTTACTTTTTTATGTTAATGACTTAAAATCAAAGATTTTATGTAAACCCGTTTATATACAGACGATGATTGCCAACTCCTCTGCTCCTTGAACCAACATGAAAACCCTTAAGTGATATATATATATATATGTGTGTGTGAAAAACATATAGCATTAACTCCTCTTAATGTAAACTATAGACTCATATGACTCATATTAAAAGAAAGATTTGCCAAATATTTTATTTAATTAGGGCTGAAACATTGAATTGGATTACTAGATTATTGAGATAATCGTCAACTATTTTAGTAATCGATTTAATTAACTGGAGTATAGAGACTAAAATGTGTCTTTAGCTGACAGAGAGACCAACTTAGAGCAAAACTGCCAAAAAAATTATATAAACATTTTTCTTTTAAGATAAAAAACAAATGTTTTTGTCTGTCAATGCTCTAACCAGAGCTCAAGTAGAAAAGGTTTACTTTCACCTGCTTTACTTTTGTTAAAAATTCTTCTTTCCGAAACTTTTGGCTGTCCGATAATTAATCGATTAATTGCAAAAATAATCAACAGATTAATCAATTTGCAATATAATCGTTAGGTGCAGCCCTAGATTTAATATTCTGCTAACTCTTCCGGTCTCAAAATGTTTTCCTATTTTTTTTCTTCTGTTATCTGAACAAATGTTACAATCCTTAATGGTTTAGTTGGGGACACAAGGTTGAGTTTTTGTTTTCTTGTTTTTCTTAAAATGAATCAATGACTTAATATCTTATTAATGAGGTTAGTGCATGTTTTACCCAGCACTGATGGCAGAACTGTAAGTCACTAGGTTAATGATATAAAAAATCTATGGCTGTATGACACAGTACCTGCCGGGAGCTTAACTCCTCACACGCAGGAATTTCATAATTTCTTGGTATTTAATCATTTATTTCAACCATTCTCCCTGAAGGGTGGGTCTATTATGCACGTATTTTAAAAAATACTTTCTCTGAGCTTTATTTTTGTAAAATTTTGAACCTGTATGGAGAAGTGAAAGTTTGCACAAATCAAATGACACTGACTTGCATTGACTGCATCCTTTTGATAAATGCTAATATATTTATTTGTCTTGACTGTTAATGTCAAAAGCTTGGAAAAACAAAACAATTAAAAAAATGTTTTCGTAAATACAGCTCCTAACAAGAATAACGGTGCTGCTTTGATGACAAAATTACTTTAAAAATGCATATAAAAGTTATATTTCACAAGCTTGTGGAAAATTCCACAAAAAAAACAAACTCATTTAAAGCAATAAAGGAACGGATGCTTTGGACTTGAATCTGACCCTTGCCTACTCTTTTAGGAGCCACCAAACCTCAAGGTTCAGCTGCCTTTTTCTGTGCGTGGTCAGAGTGGACGCACCCTTCCTGGGCAGAGGCCGAAGCAGTTGGCATGGAGTCCCAAACATCAGCCACCATAAAAGTCTAAAGCTCTCCTCAATGTCTTAAGTGCATTTGCAAAATCCTTCTTTTTGTCTTTACCAAAACAGTTTTTCTCTACATTAAGTCACTTTTTTACTCGTTTGCCTTCAGTTGGAGTAGAACTTCTCACATCACATCCTTTTTAGACAGTCCTGCTTCGTTTTTTTTTGGATAGCTACCAATCTGCTTACACACCACAGCAAAAATGATCACATTTTAATGTATTTAAGGGAGATAGATGAACAATGACACCAATGAATCTTAAAAAGATCCAGATAACGTACTTTGCACACTTGTTTTTAAGATAAATCCTCTCATGGAGAAAGAATTGCCTTTGTCTTTATCTGCAGCCCTCAGCGCGGAGAAGACTGCACATTCTGCTTTTCATTGTCTAATTAGAGAAACAGGGAGAGCTGAGAGTGTTCATCCCAGAAGTATTTCTCAAACAAACACTCTTCCAAATTACTTCACAGTTTTACAAGATATGCCTCACTGTTTTTTTCCTCTTCACTTCCACTAAAAGTCACATGTATAGTTCCCATAGCAGTTCAGTTTGGACAAAACATATTACACAAGTACAGATGTTATAAGTCAGACATAAACATAATATCACTGGTTTGGTTTAACAAAAACAACTTAATTTTTGATGACTGCTTGATTTAAAAAATGTTTTTTTTTATCACTTTGAATTTTTTTTTTTTTTTTACTTCTGAGTAGAAGATACCAAAATATAACAGGGTGGACAATTTATCTTCATCTTGGGTTTCCTTGTTTTTACAGTCTGGTCAAGATAGTCTCAACGTCCCTCTTGGGAACGAGAGTGCTGAGAACTGTTTTGGGTTGAATACCACAAGAGATAGGGAAGAAATGAGAATAAAAAGAAGGGTTATGTTGGGTCAGTGGTGACATCTAACCCCTTCTGTTGCAAACATCTCCTACAAACTCTCTTTTTGTTTTTGTTTGCACCACATTTCCGGCTGCAGAAGAACCTTCACTGCACTCTAGCTTACCCCTGCGTATAACATCCTGGACAGATTTTTCTTAACAATAACAAGCATAATCTTCTTACTGATCCCCAACTTTTATGAAAAACAAATACAATTTTTAGCCAAGAAAAGGAGCAAATAAGTAATTTTCCTCTTGTGCTAGACTGCAGCACAGTGGCAGGGAAAAAAGCAGGTCCAAATCTAATTTTAAACTTGCAACAGACTGTTTGCGGTATGTTTCTTCGTCCCAGTTGCATGCTTGTGGTGAAGACTTTTTTATTGTGCCCTTTATTGTAAACTCCTTCATTCACTTTTGTGTGTAAAACAGAAAAAGGCATGGCATGCACCCATGGCCCTTTATTAAGATTCCTACTGAGTTTCTGTGGTTTATAGCCCATTTAAGTAGAAAATACTAACACCAGGGGCGTTAACTTGAGCAAGAAGCTATGACTACGGTATCTTACAGATTAAAAAACATTTAGAATTTCTATGATGAATGATAAATAAATAGAATTGCACCTGTTTTTTGTTTCTATTGTTTTTATTTCTGCCTAGAAATAAATGAACCCCCTATGCCTGCATGTTAATGTTAAGAAAGACACGTCCATGTTCTAAAGCTCAGGAGGATGTAGAATATAAAAATATTTACTGCTCACCTGTCTGCTGTTGATCCCAAACTTTGATCGGCTCTGTTTGGGAGAGACAGAGAAACAGCATCATCAAATGGAACCACATGTTAGGCAGCAAAAAAATACCGTCTCCACTCCTTCTTTCCTCTCCCGATTTATTTTCTTTACAAAAAACAAATTTCCGTCTGCTTCCACCCACTGTTGTCTCCTCTGTCCCTCTGAATCTCACTGGTTTCCGACACCAGCCGGTTTCCACTCTCTAACTACACCCCTTTCTCTCCTCCTCGGGGATGTTTTAGGGATGCAGCAGAGATGAACGAAACAAATACATTCAGCTAAAGTTTATCACTTTCATAAAAGGTAATTTTCTTGTTTGATTTTATCCTGCAAACATGGATTTGTTGTTCCTGCTTTTGTCCGTTGGAACTTTCAGAGTAAAAATATTATAACTATGACAAACAGCAAGGATTGCTCACATTTTCCAAACCAGCTGTGAATCCACTGATATTTATGACATCTAGGATTAGAGATGGAGATTAAGAATCTAACCAAGCCTGGCTTACGAGTGCTTCTTATGAAATTTCATATTTCATATCATGTCAAAAGTATTTCTGCTGTTTTTTTAATCTCAACTAAAAATATCTTGTTTCACCTTGTCTAATATTGTAACTTTATATCGGAGACCAGCAAAAACTTATGTTGCGTCCCCCAAGGGTCCATTTTAACCCCCGCCTTTAATGTCTTCATACTACCCCTAACTCAGATTATAATAAGCTACCATACCATGCAGACAACCTACAAGCTGTACATTACAATGTCACCAGGTGTCTTTGAACTAATTCTGGGTAAATGCATGGAAGAAGTAAATTCATGGATGTAACAAGATGTTCTGCAGCTGAATCAAAACATAATTGAAGTAAAGTTAGCTCACAGCTTCCGTTAATACAATCAGACACCACCATTCAGGCTTGGAATCTTGGTGTAGTGATGGACTCAGATCTGGACCTTCAAAAGCACATAAAGACAATAACAAAGTCAGTCTTTTATCACCTAAAGCAGTGGGGCCACTGACCTAAAGAACATCTCCAGGATCCTAGGACTAATGTCTCAGCAGGTTCTTACTCAGCAGGTTGCACTGATTACTGCAACAGTGTCTTTAAAGGTCTGTTTAAAAAAAAAAAAAAAAAAGAATCAGACAGCTGCAGTTGATCTAAAACGCTGCTGCTCACATCCTCGAAACTGAGAAATTGAAGCACGCAGCCAAATTTCTTCCATATCTCAGAGAATGGACTTTGAAATAGATACATGAAGTTTGTCCATATATCAATTAATGGCTTAGCTCCAAAATATTTTATTTATCAACCACCCAGCATTGGAATGCACAGACTTTATAAAGAGGTTTAGGTAACATTTATTTGCTGTTTTTGCAGTTCAGCCCGATTGTATAGGTGGATTTCTTTTTAGCATAAATGGCCTATTTAAGGTCATGGCACAGTCTCTTTAAGTCACAACACTGTGTTTGCACTATAATAGCATAAAATAACAATTAGTACCAATATACTGTATTTGCACTGCAACAGATCATAGCCTGTCTTTGTAACTTTTAATTTTAATTTCCCTGATACAACTTTATTTGCACCTCCTGTTGTTTACTAAAGCTGATTTAACAAGTGATTTTGAGATCAGTAAAGTCCTATCTTATGATAGCTTATCTCTCTAATAGGCCATAAAAGAGAGGCAAATTGAAATTATTTCATGTCGAACCCCCAGAGGCAATGTGTTATTCATTAGTTGGTTAAAAAAGTCACTAGCAATTATGAGCAATCATTGGAGATGGTAATTTCCTCGTACTGTCTGCCAAGGAAATGCTTTTCTGCTGGACTGCACTGTAAGGACGGCAACATTAAAATGGTTAGACAGTTACATAGCAGTGATCTTTATTATATAACAAAGCAAAGTCCATGAAAAAATAAAATTGAAGTAATACTAAATCAGATGACTGTGAATTAGCAAAAATCAAGAGCCTTTTACACACATTGCAGTTACAGATTTAGCCACAAGATGTCGCTCAATATTCTCAGTTAATGCACAGTTCAAAGCAGGTACATTTTAAGGAAGTGAATAAAAGTGAATAAAAACAAATCCTTTGTATCTGTAAGCTCCTTCCTGATGCCACCTGGTCCCCCTTTCACATTAAACAGGCTTCATATGAATTCTGACAAATTTGACATGTTGGATTTGCAGTTGCTTTTGTTTTTCATATTTATAAAAAGGTTATTTAAATCTCATGACTTTGCAGTCTTTACAAGATATATTAAATTATCTTAAAGGCATAAAACAGAGAGAAAAGAGTGTAAAAATCCAGCCCTACATGTTTTTTCAGCTGCTGTTGTGTCTGCCTGTTAACAGTCAAATAGGCTTTAAAATGTGCAACGCTAAGGTGACAAAAAGAGAATTTCCACAAACTGAAACTAAACTGCTAAATTTAAGTTTTACTGTTTTAAAGGACAAAATACCTCCAGCTCGTTCTTAATATCAATAAAGCTGTTTCACCCCTGATTTTTACCAATCGAATACATATTCCAGATATTAAAAATTTTATTTTATAAAAACATTTTGATAATATGTTTGATAATTCTTCGTAGGTTGGATTTTAAAGTGAAATGGAACGGCGTTGGTTTCTAAAAAAATGTGAAACAGCCCTTTACTTGGCTAGCTTTACACCGTTTAGAAATATGCTAGCTAGCTAACAACTAGCTTAGCTGTTTGACTTTCTCTCAGTATAGAATTCCGTATATCTCATACAATAACACATATATTTACACGCCAGATAATCTGTTCTTGTCGGTGATACAAAAAAACCACTCTAACAAACAACGCATATCATTAGGTTTTTAATGTACTAGCTGGCATCGCTGGAATGTAGGCGGGGGTATAGCTCAGTGGTAGAGCATTTGACTGCAGATCAAGAGGTCTCCGGTTCAAATCCGGATGCCCCCTTTACTCTTTATATCGATTTTTTTCCTTCGCACTTTTTTTTATTATTAAGTTCATTATAATCATAAAGTATTCGCTTAAAAAGCATTAACATAAAAGTTATGTTAATCTGCCCCACTGATCTTATTAGTGGGGCAGGTTTATCCTGGTAAAATTCGGCTCATTCTTTCATGTTTATATAATTTTTCTTTTCTTTATAGTTCAGACAGTCAATCTACTGGGTATGGTTTCCTAACAAGCAAGGAAAAAGGTGTAGTTAGAAGTAGCCTCAAACAAAGGGAGCGGGCTTCACTCCCGCATCAATTCCAGGAGCAGTCAGCGAAACACACACACACTACAGTGAAAGTTGTAATATTTACATTTATTTCAAAAAGTATATATATATAATACAAAAACAATTTACAAAATACAGTATATACATTTTAAATATAAGTCATTTTCTTTAGCAGCTAGCTCATTTTTCCAACCAGGAAATAGTTTATTCTATAATATACAGAATAAAACTAGTGAGCTTTGATACATATAAAAAAAAACACCTTCAGATAAAAAACTGCTGGCATTCAGTGACAAAAAAAAAACATAATTTAATTTTATCCATCAGATTTAAGCTTTTCTTTCTAACATTGCATAGTTACTGAGATAAACAAGGCCACAGGAATTTATTCTCATAGTGTAAACATATAATTAGCTGCTAAACTGTGCATAAGAAGCTGTGTTAACAATAAAAAGGCACAGTTTAAAATGAGCCCGTCTCTGTTCAAGTTACATGCTTTTTGTGAAAGGACAACATTAGTCTAGTTAAGACCTTTAAATGCTGATAAATATCCCATCTCATTTATAAGTTTGTTGTTCTATTTTTGTTTTAAATAAAATTGGCAACAAGTCAAGCTCTAATGATACATCCAGGGTTGTCTGCTACTACTGGCACAAAAACCTGGAAATAAAGTGTTATTTGTTGTGGCTGGGGGGAGATCATTTTTGGCCTTCGGGGAACAATTCTATCTTAGCTTTTCTAACTGACCTTCAGCTCTGTCAGTAGATTTTCACAAATCTAAAATAGAAGCCATTTGCTTGATTATAATGATGAACAAATAGATTCTTCAAATTTTTTTATCACTAAGAAGAGAAATTGACCCCTCTGAAGCGTGCATATATAATTATTTAAATACATTCCACTTAAAGGAACTGTTTTGTTGTGATATTTATAATTTTGTAAACCAGACAGACATGTCTTTACATAGAACTCTTCTCCCTTATTTGTATTTCTGTGGAAGGTTTTGCACAATCGATGGGCTTAAGATCGATAAAAGTGGTTATTTTATGAATGCATCCTAATGGGATAGGGGTTGTTTTACCGGACTTTTATGCATTTCTCCTAAAAAGATGGAGCAGTGCAACATAGTTTAAGATTAAAAAAAGGAGAAAGTAAACATCAACTGACGCATTATCAACATACAAAGGCATAGATCAGTAAGAATTATATTTAAAAAAATAGCTCTAAAACCTCTAAGGTTTATGTTCGTGCTGAGGCTGAATCAAATCAGCTCTCCTTTGCAAAAACAAAGCCGGAGTGGCGAGTCGGCTTTGCTTCAGATTCTATTACACTGGCCCGAATTGCTGTAAATCATACTGACAATGCAGCCTCCTTAGCACAGATAGGGGGAGGCTCAGTTTTCTTTAAGAAGTTCGATCCACTCTAGGGAGCATCATTTTGCAACAACGTGCGCTTTCATCCAGTCCAAGCTGGCAGGAAGACTGCAAAAGCAGAAAGGGAAGAGGGTTTTAATATGCATCGTAAAAATAATCTGGTATTACTGGCTCAAACTGAGCTATGTACTCACCCTTCTCCAGTTAGAGCGCAGCAGGCTTGGACATGCCAGGAGTGTGTTGTGATGGAGTCGAGCGTGAGGCACTGAGAGATCTCCGCCGCTGTCATCGAGCCCTTTATGTCTTGCTTATTTGCCAGAACTAGAATGGCAGCATTTTGCAGGTCCTGCATCCAAAAAAGAGGAATGTTGTTTACTGATAGGGGATTTGATGAGGTCATGAACGTCTGCAAAAACCTCCAAAACATCAAGCAAAGAGCTGCCTCAGCGGAACTTTTGAAGATGCTGACTAAAAACAGCCTAAAAGACACTTCCTCATCACGTTGTGTCATGGGTTGATAGAACTTGTTCTGCTTACACAACGCTATTAGTCATACATGGAAAATGGGGGGTGTGTTTTAAACGTGAAAACGGCAGAGTACAAACTCGCTCCATCAACAAAAGAGTTTTACGTCAAGGCGTTGAAATACAAAGATAATAGCGATTTCAAAAGAAGTTATTTTTAAACACATTTGCACCTACCTGTTAAGGCATTAGAGTTAAGTTATGCATTAAAGTAGAGTGTAATTTCTAATAATAAGCTGAATTAGGGTTTAAAGTAAACAATACCTCATGAGCAAGCATTCTATGCAGCTCCTCTTTTGTTACAGTCAGCCTTTCACGGTCGGTGCTGTCCACAACCAGAATGACAATCTGAAAAGGCAACAGTTTACAGTATTTAACATCACATGTAGATGCAGTAACCTGTAAATTATTAAATGAAGCTGTAACTAAGTAGTCTGGAGGACCTCAGGCAGCTTTAACGCTTTCGTTTCCTGTCTCCAGTCCTAAATCAGACTGAGGAGATCTCTCAGTGTTGTGAAACGCATGAAAGGTACCTCTGTGTTGCAGTAGTAGGAGTACCAGCTGGCCCTCAGACTCTCCTGTCCCCCGATGTCCCAAACCATGAAGTGAGTGTTGCGGACAATGATCTCCTCAACGTTGCTGCCAATGGTGGGTGACGTGTGGACGGCCTCTTTTGTCAGACTAGAAGTATTGGTGAAGGAAAAACACTTTTAAACTAAGTCCAATAAAAATCTTTATAAATAGAATTAGTATAAAGAAGTAAGCTCACTTACTACTGGTAGAGGATTGTTGTTTTCCCAGCATTATCCAAACCCACTATGATAACTTTGTGTTCTGCAAAGAAAACAAACAAACCCAAACATTTGTTCAATTTGCCCAATAATAATAACAAGAACAACAGTAATAATAATAACAATAAAAACTTCAAGTGAAGTTCAGGAAACTCATATCCACAAAAAAACTGACAAGTACTTTTAAACTCAATGGAAAAATACAGGTAATCATATATGATATAAAGGTAAGACAGAATTAAATTGAAAGTGTTTATTTTTACCTTTGTCTCCGAACACAGACATCATCTTGGTCAACAGGAACCCCATGTTCAATAGGTGAGTAAACACTGAATACAAAACAAATCCTGAAGACGATTAACTTCAGTTTCTATCAACACTTTACTGACAGACAGACCTGCGTTTTGACATATTATACCAGTTTCTGCTTCTCTTTCTGCGTAAGTGGGAGGCGCCTCTCAAGAGTCCTCGGTGTTTCACTGTAGTGGTGCATTCAATTACAGTGGGAAATATCAGAACACAAACAGGTGGGGAAAAATATTGACACTGTAAGATCGTCACCAGGTATGATAGCCCAGATTTTAAACTTATTTAGATAAACAGTCTCAACAACAAAGGCGTAGCCAGAAAATTTTTATAAGGATGGCCAGGCAATAACCAATGTACACTGAGGGGTGGCCGAAAGTAGAAAGGAACCAAAACTTAGTGTCAATCTACACTGTTCCAACAGGAAAATTAACAAGCAAAACATCCATATTTTCTAAATAACAACTAACTATACTTTCCTACATCCTTTGCTGACAAATAGATATTTAAACATCCGTTATTTCTAAATAAAAGGTATAGTGGATAAAATTATTTCAGTTTTGAGTTCTGGGGTGTAAATCTTTTCCATTGTCATTACTTACCTATTTGTATCAATAAACATTCTGCATGAAATTAAAAGTACAAAATACAAGTACTAATATCTACATAAATTGATTATTTGATAAGTTTTTCTTAAAATTCTTATTTATCTATGATTTCACTGAAGACTCCTATAGAAGACTAGCGCAAACACATTTTTCCTTACCCCATAAAACACAAAATCTAGCTCTGAAAAGAGCATGAATTCTGTACTTATCATCTTTGATGTTAGTATATTGATAAGTATAATTAAACAAAAAATTAAAAATGTTTTGAATATTCCACTTGAGAGTATTACCGATGCCACTATCTGTTTTAGAGGGAAAAAAAATGGTAGCAGTGGCCACAGGGGTCGCCAATGATAGGCTAAGGGTGACCATGGCCCCCCATCTAGCTCCGCCCCTGCTCAACAACATGTTTGCACATAAACAGATTAATTTACTTGCTAAATAATATATAAAATAGATTAGGAGCTAAAAAGATCCAAAATATGACAAAAACTTTTTATTAAATCTAGAACCGTTACTTAAAGAGTGAGGGCGTATAAACTTTACAAATGGCTTACAAACTTCTCATTTATGAAAATGTGGCTTTTTCTTTTTATCACCATGGGAAAAGAATAAAAATTACGACAAATTATCTTCAATCTTGGTGTAGTGTATATGAATACATTTTCTTTAAAATTATAGATTTATACACAATTTACCATATTATTTTTTTTATTTACAGCGGCATCATTAATGGTTGTGAAATGAAAAAAATATAAATGTAACACCTCTCATACTATTACTATTGTTACTATTACTGTCTTATAATTGTATAGATATCTTTCACTCTCTGAAATGTTTCTTTAAAGAAGAGCTCATGTTTGATACCAACTAATGTAAATAATAATGATAAAAAGTTTAATATTTTCCACCTAATGTAACGCACCTGAAGATTTTCTACTGCGATTCAAAATATCCGACTATAGGTGGGTCCCTGAAAGCATCTCTGCCGTATCTCTCTGTGGCTCCGACAACAAACGAAAGCTGACGATGAGATGACGTAGGGAGAATTCCAGCCCATAAATGGAAGAGGAAGTAAAACCGTTCCCCCCTCCCTGCCTGTGAATTTAATAATCGTCGCCAAGGGCCAAACAGAAAGCAAAAACATCAAAAAGAAATCCCCGGACACTTCTTCACACTCCTGGTATTTCCAAGAAATTACCAAAGCAATTCCCATATGTGTTTTTATCAACGTGTAACTGATACCAACCCAAGGTTATAACGTTTTATGGTTTAGTCTAATTTAAAATAACTAAATTTCCAAAAAGTTCATTGTAAAATGTTATTTTACTGTAATAATGATTAGTTTTATCTAAGGGTTAGAATTAGAGATGATTGACAGCAACTGGCATAAAATAAATGATGTTTTTTATATTTGCATAATGTTTTTAAAGCTACTATTGATTATCATAATATAAATATTTACATTTTGGTATTATAGAATCACAACCTCCATCCCACCTGGGATTTTTATCACAGCTTTTTTTCTTTAATATTGGGACTTGAAAGGAAATAGAACATTGTTTAGTTAATTTCCCTTTTTGTGGTGCGCATTTGAATCCACCCCTTTTGAGTCAATCCAGGACCATTATACAATCTTTGGAAAGTTATAGCAAAATCTTTTGAGTAATTTCTCTTTACAAGCTTAATCCAAACTTCTTTACCCTCACTTCTTGGCAAACATGCTTTAACTCCCTTTGATCAAAGGATGAATCTCCATTAATATATTTTTTTAATCCTTACCTCAGGATTGAATAGGCCATTTTACCACCTGAATACTTACCTGATCTAAACTCTCCCGTTGTAGCTCTGGCTCTATGCTAAGCATTGCTGTCCAAATCCCCTAAGGGCTTCAGCAGGTTTTCAGCTACAGCTCTAAATTCTTGGTTACTGCTGTAGAAAAGAATCCAGTGAATCTTGCTTTCAGTGACATTTTTCAGAAAAGTCCTCACATGATCTGGGTGGTTTTCTATATAGGCTAGAATGCTGGAAATGGAGTAGGGAACCTTGATGTTTCCTGTGTCCCTATATGACTTTTACCTATCTTCACCCAGAACTTTCTAATGTTTTTTCCCTCCACCAATTCAACACCTATATATATTTATATATATATATATATATATATATATATATGTATATATAGTCTTGAGAGGTTCTCCCACCTGAGCTGGTGATCTTTGCAGCTCCTCCAGAGTAACAATGGGCTTCTTAGCCTGCTTCTCTGTTTAGATGGACAGTCATTTCATGGCAGGTTTATATTTGATTCAGCCGTTCTAATAATAATTGAACTTTATTGATCTCACACTGGAAATATTTACCTCTGCATTTAACCCACCCCCTTTGAGAGCAGTGGGCTGCCACTGTGCAGAGCCAGGAGAGCAGTGTGGGGTTAAGGGTCTTGCTCAGGGACCCAGAGTGGAGGCTGTGGGGATCAAAGATTTGAGATCTTCAAAGCTTCACACACCATATTATGACTTCATCACTGATGTTTCTGCTGTGTTTTGTTGCCCTTGACATTATTTGTTCACCCAGGTTATTTTCAACAGAATCGTTTAGATTTACATGCCAGTTTCTCTGCTTCTGTCTCCTTGAACCCCAGTCGGCCTCGGCAGATGGCAGCTCACACTGAGCCTTGTTCTGTTGGAGGTTTCTTCCTGTTAAAAGGGAGTTTTTCCTCTCCACTGTCGCTACAAGCATGTTTAGTGTGAGGGATTGCCTTTGAGTCAATGAGTTGATGCAATCAACTGGTTTTCCTTAGATAGAAAACTTTGAATCAATTTGACTTTATGAACTGTGCACTGTAAAGTGCCTTGAGATGAGATGTGTTGTAAATTGGCGCTATATAAATAAACTGAATTGAATTTGTGTTGGTCTATCACCTAATAACCAAATAAAATATATAGTTTGTTGTTCTAATGTGATTTAAAAAAGGAATCCCCCGAATTCAAGAGGCAGGAATATATAATTTTTTTTTTTTTTAATATAGATTTATAAAATATAGTTAGATGGTAGGACTTGTTCAGAAACAAACAAGAAATATTCTGTTTCCCTTTTGGGTATCTGCTGTTTGGCTCCTTTGACTCAATTATGTGAGGCTCACGTTTCACTCTTAAACCACAATATTGCGTTATTCAGCTCTGCAATGTTATTCAAATTGAAAAAGGCAATGCAAAGAAGCAAAAACCACATCCTGCATATAGAATGTTCTTATCTGCTTGAAAGTATCGCCTTGCGTAATGGTGAACCAGGGGAAACTTTATTTTCTTGGGTGAATACCTTTTGTGAGCAAAAATGTCACGCACATTTCTCTTCAGGCAGTCTGAACTTTGTTTTGTATGTCTGTATCCAGCAAAAGTCCTCTACAAGTGTGAGATACACCACCAGTATTATGCTTAAATATTTTAAGGACAACTCCACAGTTACATTTCATAATAAGAAAGAGACAATGTGACATTTTTAAATGAAATTTTTAATTAAAATACGAGTTTATCCACAGATTAAAAATGAAAGGCAGAAAAAGCAAAATGTAGCTACAATCAGGCACCAATGATACATGTTTTCTTATCATTTTAACAATTGCGATAATGCAACAATAACATTATTTACTGATCATTAATATTTATTTATTTAACCGAAGACAGAGGCGGGCTAAAGCAGCCCGCTGAAGACATTCATGGATTCTCCATTATAGATAACTTAATAAAGACCAAAGGTGATCCTACCCCAACCTCCCCATACGATACTCCTCCTATTACCTCACAGAAACTGGAAAAAAAAATTGCAAATGTTCACAGGAAAAATAAAAACAAAAGAACCCCATATCAGACAGAAATCAGGAAGAAAGAAGAGAGTTGTTTTTAATGTCAGAAAAGCTTGCAATTCAAGTGGAAGCTGAGAGAGGTTAACTTCACAAAAAACAAAACAAAAAACAAAAAAAACACTTTTTATATGAGCTTTAGCCCTGAATGCAGTCTGGTAAGATGGTGCAAACTAAACAAAATGAGAGACGTGCTGCAGAGCAGCCAGGAGAGACACACACAGAGACAAGGACAAGGTATGAAAACAAGTGGAACAAGAGTTAAGACATCCCACCCGCTGGTGGACATGGCTTGGCAAGACATTCCGGCACTTGTGATTGTAGGTTTCTTGAAATAAAGGTGTTTTGGGGTGAGATCGACTAAGGCAGGACGTCTCATTCTCACGACTGTAGTTGTTGTAGCTCTGAGTGCTGCTGTGAAGCTGCACCGCAGTGTGAATACTGAAAGCTGAACCAGCTCAGGGAAGAAGTAAACATCTTTGTTGTGATCTAGCTGTCATGATTGTATTGACAAAAGATATATTTTTTTTGATTAAAAAAAATGTATCTTTGACTTTGACTCCTCTACCAGCTTTTTAAGGTCTGGGTGATAAGAGAGAGGCGGTGAGCGACTCACAACTTCTGGATCCCAGTATAGGAGGGAATCCTGGAAGTGAAAAGCTGTGAGTGAGAAAAATGTAAAGAGAAACCCCCGACAATATACATATGTGGGAAAAGTGACATTAGACCCTGTTTAAGACTGCAGAGGACAGACATGACAGACCACAGCCCTACCAGCCTTCACACTCTACTACTGAAGGAGAGATCGGGTCAGACAGACCTTTTTTAGCTGTCAATATAGAAACTCATGATATTCATGCATCATTGACAAAAAGAAAAAAAAAAACAGATCTATATTTTTTTTCTAAACATAAATCATTGGATCTGCAAGAACTTGATGAGAGTGGTATCTGGCAGTTGACGTATATCTTTACATTTTACTGGGATGTAAACACATTTTTGTAAGTCTGACAGGTGTGGCCCCAAACCCACACTTCAGCTCCTTTACAAGCAGAATCCTTCCCCTCCTGCTGTCCTCAGTCTGCATCCTCCTAGTCTCTGTGGTGAGCATTCAGCGGATGTAAACATCCTTCCCCCAGTCCTCCTGGTTCTTGTTACGGCTCATGTTGGACCCTGTCTCCACAGGGTCCTGGCAGTAGCGCTCCCTCAGCTTGGCCCTTCCGTGCGGCTGCGAATGTCTCGGCATCGAAGGGTGGTTGAGGTTTTCCTGGTCTGGTTCAGCACCTTCATCTTCCCAAGAGGCCTGTCGGCCGTGATGCTGCGCCAGGTGGAGACGGCTGCCTCCACTACCTCGGTACGGGTCGGGTTCCTCATAAGGGTCAGTCTCAATGTCCATGCAGGAGTCCCCGGCCTCGGTGTAGGCCGAGTCTCGGCTGCCCTGGGTCTCAGAGTCGAAGGTGTCTTGCCGGGACAGGGCTCTCCCGCTACCCGCTCGTAGCTGGCTACGAGACGAGCGCAGGTAAGCCTGCTGCTGGTGCTGCTGCTGCTGAGGCTTTCCACCCAGGTCGGTCTCATAATCGTGAAGAGTGCTGCTTCCACCGCATTCTGTCAGACCCCCCTCACGCTTCTGCTCACCGTGAACCAGGTATGGACTCTGCAGTCAGTCACACCCATGCCACACAAAAAAAAGACATGCAGAGGCACAGACAGCAAACCAAACTGTGAGTCATGGGCCAGCAGGGTTAGCAACATAAGCATCACCTGTGACATTAAAACATTAGTTTCCTACTCTCACACATTTTCAAAGCCTTGCAAAAGTATTTCATATTGATTTTTTCTTATTTGATCAGATTGCAACAACAAAATTCAATTTATTCCATTTGGATTTAATGTGACAAAGCAACACAAAGGAGCTCATCATTGCAAAGTAAAGAAAACATGACATGATTTCCAGTTCCGATTAAAAATGATAAATCTGTTCAATCTAGAACCTGAAAAAAACTAGAAGCTGAAACTACAGCAAGAAGTTATTTTGCTAGATTAGTGACATAGGGCTGAGGAATACACACCCACACTTTGCAACAGAAATCTAAAATCCTGTATTATTTATAACTTATTATCACATACTATCCAAATGAAAAACATTGACTTTTGTGTGTAAATAATTTCGCAAGGTACTGTCAGTTTGTAGTACTTATGTACATGCACTAATATTTTTAACACATACAATTAGTTGCATAGATTAAGTTTGCTGGTTACTTACCCTATTCAACAAGTAGATCAGAATATTTACCAATACAACACTGCTATCTGCTGGCTGATTAATATCATAGCAACATTAGCACTGACACCTCCTGGTTCTGATCAAGGCCTATTTTGAATCATATGATTGGATTAATAAAAAAAAAATCCATATTAAGGTTTCGTCTTGTTGTCTTTGGTTAATGTTATTGCCTTTATGAGGCGTTACATGACCATGCAGTAGCTAAGCTCTCAAGCCACAGGTCATTATAGTTAATGAGTAGCCAGCAGTGATTGAAAACTGATTAGTCCTTTGCTGTTACTCCAAATAACAGATCTACAGGACTGGTCAGAGTGTTAGAGACGGCCTCCACCAAACCGAGCCCTTTCTCTTTGAAGAGGCGGATATGACTTGCTGTTTTCAGGGCCGGTACCATGGCAACACGGAGGAGGACAGCAAAGTAGTTTCTCCTCTTGGAGAGGAAGAGGAGCTGGAGGAACGAAGCCACGGAGCTAACGGAGGGCGGGGTTAGGGCAGCAGATATCATCTTACTAATGAAAAGGCCATCGAGGGCAGCGGGACCTGGACCAGACAGCTTCACAGTTTTAAAGGCTACGTCGTTTAATCTAACAGTTCATATGTGAGAAATTCACTCCTTACTCCAACACTTGTATAACGCAGCTGTCCTGTGTTTTTATATACAGAATAAACAGGGTTTCTCTGCACTCCTCCTTCATGTTTACAGAGCTCAGGTTTAGTCCCCCCCTCCCCCTCCCAAATCACGTTCTTGCTCTTGGACTTCAGACAGCATGCTCTTCCTCTTTCCCCTCGCTGGCCACAGCACCGTCCATGTCAGGCCACAGATCCATATTCCTGCGCAGAGAGGTTAGCACTTGTACCTGCAGGTTGGAGACGGGCTCAGGAGAGGCAGCCAGGGCGGCTGTGGCCATGGTGCGGTTCAGAAGAGGGTTTGGAGGGTTGCTGCTGGGCGGGTGTGTCGCCTTCCAGTAGGCCTCCAGGTAGTCTGCAAGGTGTTCACATGCGTCTTCCAACTGGTTCTCATCCAGGATGATGTCAAACAGTTCCTGCACAGGTCATGAAGGATAACATTGGAGCTATTTAGCCACAAATATTAAGCACAATGATCCCTGAACAAACACGAAAACTTTAAGAATCCTGATATAATTGGATTTTGTGTGGATTAAAAAAGAAATCAAGGCTGAACTCACAGGAGGACACTGGGCCAGCTTGTCAGCTGCAACCATCTGCACATTTAGATGTTTGGCCTGGGATTTCCCTCTGGATTTAATGAGCCTCTGGAGAACCTGCAATAATATGGTAAAAAATCAAACAAAAACAAAAACACACCAATTAAATCCCCAACCAAACTCCTAAAATTTCTAAAGAAGGAGCTGAGTTAAGTGGAGGTGATCGGCTAACGAAAGTGCTGTGATGTTCAACAGTAAATTTCAAGAATCATCTAAAAATGCATGGAAAACTTAAAAAAAAAACATTAAACAAATACAAGCAAACATCAAAATTAACAAATACTATTAAGTAGCAGATATACCCCTTTACATGGGAAAGTTTACACTGTCAGTAATGTGACCACTTTTAGCTGAAAGCAGAAATGTACATACATTCTGTACTAAAATACTATTTCAGTATTTTCCACATTATGTTTTTCTCCTTATAAAGTTTTAGACTCAGAGTTAAAAAAACAAGGAGGAAAGACCCCCTTAGGCCCTTTTTGCACAATCTTATTATACCTCAAATTTATATTTATCTTACCTTTCTCTGTTCATTGTGTCTCTATTATTTTACACTCTTTCTTCAATTTTTTAGATAATGATTTATTTGTGATTCAAAAGTCTGCATCTAGTTTATTCTAAACTCTTATGGTACACGGTGGTTAGTACTGAGCAATGTTTCCCATAGTGATACTGGGTTGATAACTTAGTATACGTTGATTAATTGGTTATTGGTTTTTAGGTTTTTATATTTAATTTAGTAAAGCAATGAAAAATAGCTATTTTCCATTTCTCTATATTTTGTAACAAAATGCGTGGGAAAAATGTATTTCTCGTATTTTCAGCGTTGGTTGAAAAACTAATGATGCTCTTATACAAAATGATACAGAAAAAAACGTATTGATCTAATTGATTTATAGTTTATGTTGAATGTTTTATGCGCTGTATAGGTGTTCTTATGTGCTCAGAATGTGCCAGCAGTGAACTACTGTGCATGCGCCCAGCTTAGAGGGAAAATTGGTGAGTTACAAAAATCTGGAAGAACACATGGATGATGCAACTTCGTCACTGCTGGCTCATGCCCCCTCGAGTATAAAACAGGATTTAAGTTTTCCCTAACTTAGTTAAAATTGTTTTTATAGCCACACCCTTCAATTTTGGAATAATCAGACCTGCACATGTCTTTATTCTTGATAACATTTGTAAACTCATCTGACTTTAAGTTACTTTTGAAGTAATGCTTCCTCCTTAAGGAGCTTTTTTAATACTTTTCAATGCAGGTTTTGTTTTATTGTGAATAATTAAACTCTCTTACATTTGTACATATCTGCTTTCAGCTGTACAAATTTATCCTCTAAAGCTAAAACCATCTCTGACCAGCTGTAAGCCTGAATCACTTAAAATTTCAGACTGTCCTGCCACACTGTAGTCACTATAAACAGAGGTCACTCAAATAATAGCTTGACATTAAATACAGTAGAGAAAAACAGCAAATCTCACCTTTGGTGAGGCTATTTTGATATAAACAATTATGGGAGCCAGGGAGGTCTTGGCCAGCTGAGAGGGATGATTGATGGTGTCTGCATCCAAAGCAACAAGCTGGAGGGTGCGGGCCAGCTCAAATATACGTTCAATCTCACTCTGCACCTCAGCTGAGTCCAGGAAGCAGAAACAAAAACGACATAAATAAAACAACATATAAATATTTGATTTTCTTTGAAGACAAGCATCTTGGCTAAAGGAGACAACGTTTCTCTAACTTGTGCAAAACTACACAACTAAGATGTTAGTGGCTACCATGCATGTTGAATTATTTGCGGATATAAAAGAAAATTCCAGCCACATAAATCAGTTTGGACCACAGTTTCAGTTCCATTTATGCTAAGCTAAATGGAGCACTGCAGCATCCTCATTAATTTGCCCCCTTCAGATATTTGACCTTTTTATACCTTTTTTTTGGCTCATTACCTATTCAGGTCTGTGATGGAAGGAGGCACTTAGAAATGAGATGCCTGTGGTACTTTGAGTAGCTTGCAATAAGGCGATATTTATCACTACTTCACTAAGACAGAAACATGAAAAAAAAAAAGAAAACCATGAAACGTCAGATTTTGTTTCAAAGTACAGGCAAGGCGGTAGCTATTCTATGTTGGATCATTCAACACTGTGGATGGCTTGTGTTTTATGTTTTCATTGTTCCTCAGTAAGAACTCAGAACTTAACTTTTCGACCAGAGTTCTAGTTTTGAATTAAAAAGATTAAAGAAAAGAACAAATTGAATTAACCCTTGGCCTACATAGTCAAAACTCAAGCGGCAGAGGGAGATAACAGAGGCTAAGAGATGCTGCGAGCAAACATTACAGCCCCTCCCGACGGGGCTGAAGCTGGAGGCCAGACGGGGTCTCTGCATGCTGATAGGAAGTTTGGACCTTAGGTCATATGAATGGAGAGCAGGCAGAGCTTTGCTTAATTTCAGCAAAGACTGTTATTTCATACTTCTTATTAACTAACTCCCTCACCATGAGCTAATAAAAGACTGCAGCCTTTTAAATAGTGGCAGAAGCTGCATTATTTTAATGCTTCTCTCTCCTCATCCTAAAGCAGTGGAAGCTTTTTGGTCTCTCAGTTGATCACTTCCTGTTTGAGGTTTTTATAATTCTGTTCTTTTTGTTCCTGACAACAGGCTGTCACAAAGAATTATGAGGAACAGAGAAACTGACAGGCAAGCAGACAGGCAGACAGGCGAAGATGAAAATAAGCATATTATGAAAATAGTTAGAAAAAAAAAGTTAGGGGGAGAGGGGCTTCATTGTTTTGCTGCGAGGGGAGCAATACGTACCCAGTACGTCTGAATCAAAAGACAGAAGAGGAGGAGGAGTAGGATGGGTGGTGGGAGAGGAGGATGGGCGCAGGGCAGAAAAGACAGCATGAAAAGAGAGAGGATGCAAGATCAGAGCTGGAATAAAAGCTTGTAGGTCTATTGATGAAATACAATGACGTCTAAAGTTTCCGCTGTTTTACTGTCTAACTACATCTGCAGCCAGGAAGTCCTGATATGTGTCAAATGAAAGAAAATATTCCCTAAAATGTTTATGCCCACCATGCTTAAGTCAAAACCAGTGGTTGACATTGATGAGCATCTTTACAGAAGCATCAAAGACCATTTCCCACTACTCTGTATATATATATAGATATATATATATCTATACATATATATTCAATTGCATTTTGCACCATATTATTTTTGCACTACACTGACTTTTTTCATATTAATGCCCCTTTGCACCATTTTCTTCAAACTGTTTTCTTTTTCTCCTACATTGTTACATGCTGATCACTGTTCCAAAAAAGTAAAAAAAAAACAAAAAAAAAAACAATCCACTGGACTTTTTTTTTCTTTCCATGTTTCAAGATGTTTCGCTTCCCTCCCAGGAAGCTTTTTCACTTCAAAATGGCAGAATTAGAGTTGAGTCCCATGCTTTATAGAGTAGCCCAACCAAGGCTTGTCTTGGCTTAGAAAACATGCAAATTGAACCACAAGAACAGGTCCACCCCTTAGTAACGGGGAGTCGTTGAGGTCTTTGTTAGCCTGCAATACCCGATACTGGTTTATGCGTCTGAAAAGGGGGATTCGTTAGGGGCATAAGGGGCGGGCCTGTTCTCCCGGATCAATTTGCATGTTTTCTAAGCCATAACAAGGCTTTGTTGGGCTACTCTATAAAGCTTGATACTCAACGTTAATCCAGATATATTGTATTGAAAAAGCTTCCTGGATGGGAATGTCTTCAGACTTGTAAAACAAAGTCCAGTTGTTTGTTTTTCTTTAGTGGAATGACCATGACCTGGATGTCTGAGCATCTTCACCAGCCTTCTAATCACTGCGGAACATTATCTTTCTCCAACTGCAATACCATTACACTGTTGTAAGCTGTATGTAACGACATCTTGTATGTTATACACTCTGTGCATACAAAATAACAATAAAGTTTATCTAAGTCTCTAAGTCAAGCACGGTAAAAGATGCACATTTTTAGAGTGTTGAAACATACATTTTCATAGCCAATTTCGGTAAGTGCATTTCTTTTTCATTTTTAGGTTCTTTTCACAGTCTATTCTATATTTTTATTATATTTTTTATGTAGATTCTTGTTGTTTTTTTTGTATCCGATTGTTTTTAGTGTGTAGTGATGAATAGACCTGTGTGCTTCCATTAGCCGGCAATGCTAACATTTTTTACTTACTATAGCTAGGATTTCTTTTAACAAAGAATAAATAAAAACACAAACAAATATTCATTTAATTTAAAATTGTTATTCATTTTACATTTTATGGTCACCTTTGCCTACTTTTTTCTTGAATCAAAATAAGATTAAATCAAACTGCAACAGGAGTGAAAGAACTTGAGCTTAACTCAGAAAAGGTGTAATTATGAGATTTGTATTTATTTTTTTATCTTAGATAGCAGAAATTCTTTTCAAAGCAAATAGTTTGTTTTGTTTATTGTTAAATAGTATAAAATCAGTCTCTATTCCTACAATATTTAAACCAGCAAACAATCTACCTTAGAGTTGAGTCTTTTTTCTTATGTAAATAAAAACCCAGATGTGAATCATGGATGATGAAAGATGCTCAGCAATGAAACGCGATGGATAGATATTTTTTCTGTTGTGATATATTCTCTACACCACATCATGTCACTTTCAGAGAGAAACCCTGTATTTTTGTTATATTGTCTGATTGTGTCTGACTCTTAGAGCAGGCTGTCTCACCCAGGCTGGAGCGGGTACTCGAGCGCTCAATGATGGTGTGTTTGCTGGGGTTATTGAGGACTGAACGTTTGGCCAGAGAGATGTCTGCTGTCACACGTGTAATGGATATCCTGACAATGAAAAAAACAAAACAAAAAAACACACAGCTTAAAAGAAATTGTGATTTTTTTGGAGTTACAGGTCATAATTTATTTTTGCACCTCCTACCTGCCCTCAAACTTGTGCTTCAGAAAGTCAAAGAGAGCTTTTTGCATCATATCTGTGACCTAGAAAGCAAAATCAGACATGACGATTACAAAAAAACATTAAATTAAGGCTGAAATGTGCTTCTTTTCTCCCCGTTACCTCATAGCCTTTTAGTGAGGGTCCAACGAGGATGATGGGCCTCATGGAAGGAACCACGTCGTAGGGAGGAACATGCTCCATCTGAGCCAAGGAAGGAGAACATCCAAATGGTCAGAATGAAAGCTCAAGCAACGTTACACTCACACATAAATCCTTCTCCTCCTTATGTGAGAGGTCAGAGTGATGGATGGCTGGTCTAAGACGATGGAGTCCATTTGTTTTATTAACTGTCTGAGTGTTCAGAGGGAGGGATTGATTTTTGAACTCAAAGCGCTGCCCTTTATTTCCCTGGCTCCATAATTAATGTGTCCATAATTAAACCAGACGCCAGCGTGTGTGTCAGGAGAGCCCTGGTGACCGCGCCGCAGCTTCAAACAGCCGTCTGAGAGCTGCTTCACACTTCCCTCTTTCTGTTATAGATGGGAACAGTTGCTGCAGACATATTACATTACTAATTGCTACTACGGTCATGTAAAAATACATATATGGGGACATCCTGTTAAGTATTCATTTCTCAATTAACAAATGCACACATGTGGATGTGTAATCTTATGTTTTATTTATCTATGAAAAAAAAAACAGAAATAAGCTTTGCTGTTCTCATTGATCAGGATATATCACTAAACGTGTGTTTTTCTAGCTGATAAAATGGTCACAGTTGTTCTTTATCTAAAAAAAAACAAGGGTTTGATTTTTTTAGCTGAAATAACCTCATTAAGGAAATATAAAATGCAGTCTAATTTGTTTCAGTTTTTGCAAGTGATCATCTTATTGGTGCTAAAATATAAAATCCCACATGTAGATACAACTTGCAGTAAACCCTGTAGTCTAGGGAGCTTTTAATGCCTAAATGTTTCATAACTAAGTTAAGGTCTCCTAATCCTTTTATGCTGCCTAGACCTTAATGGAGAGCATTATATTAATTTGCCCAAATGTGATCTAAAAATCCACAATCCATGATTAGATGGACTCAGCTCATAAGAAGAAACACTAAAAGAGTTTAGGAAGCTTATTTGCTTATGGCCAGGCTAATGCCATTAACGTTTTATCAAACAACTGGAGAACTTTGTACTGCTCTCTAAATGCTTTTAATTACAAGCAACCATTCACTGTGCTAATATTTAACACCGCGGATAGAATCAACCACTTATGCCTAAAATAGTGAGCGCAAAACATAGCAATATAGTTCAAGCAACTGAAATAAACTAAAAGCTAAAATAAAGGAAAATTCTTAAAACTTCTTTTAGGAATAAAACTGAAAGACAAACATGTATGATCGCACACAGAAAATCCACATTCCAAGTAGGGAATCTATCCATATTTCTTAATGATGATTTTCAATTGGATGATTGTTTTTTTTGTTGTTGTTTTTTTTTTTTTTTTACAATTTCTCTTCTAATCTAGAGTTATTTTGAAATTAATATATTTTTTGTTGTTTAAATCCATCTCCTTTTCTTCAGTACCTAGTTTTAGGTTTTTACTTGTCTTGAATCAGCTTCTGCTTAAGGTTTTTATAAACAGTCATCAGTTAAGAGCTTGTATTAATAGTATATATAAATGCAATCATCACTTCTCTACAGAAGACAATTTAATTTCTGTAAAAACATTGAGCTGCCTTTTATTCTTTGAGAATGATGAAACTGGAAACGATTCTCTTTTTGGATTTGTATTCCTGGTGTGCCCACTTCTCTGTGTGTGCTGGTATAACACTTCAGGCATCAGAAAGCAATGGAGCGACCTGTTCAAACATTACATTACATAAAGCTGAACAACGGAAGCTCGGTTCACCTCATTTCTATTTACCAGAGCCAAAAATACGCTGTGTAAAAATGTCCAAATGGTTGTGTCAATAAAGGGGGCAAAGCTGTTGAGCTGAAAACATCAGCTCTACTGCTTCAGTACGACTAAAGCAGGAATAGAGCACAATTTAGAGCTCTGAGCAACTTGACTGATAGTATACAGCATACTGACCAAGATATGTTAAATAGAAAAACAGAAAATTTCCAGGATATATAGAAAATATTAATACTAATAGAATTATAAAATTATTAAATTTTGAATAATTTCTTAACCAAAACAATTCTAATCTTAACCGACAGATGTGCACCTGCAGCTGCACTTGTTTATCATGGTGAAGAGAGAGCTGAGCTGTAAGGCAAAGCTCTGTATTTATCTGTCGGCATACGTTCCTACACTCACCTGTGGTCATGAAATCTGGGTCATGACCGAAAAGGTGATACATAAGTGAGCTCCCTCTGCAGAGTGAGGAGAGAGACTCAGAGTAGAGCTGCTGCTTCTGCACATCGAGGGGAGTCAGTTGAGGTGGCTGAGGGACCATGTCTCTCTGCTGGAAAAGGAACACCACTGGCTTCCCCGCAGAGGACACGAGGGAAGTGTCAGGGCAGTCAGAATTCTGGGACGCCCCGATTGAGCTCCGATCTCGGATTAGCGGAAGACGATGCTTAAGATGACAAGGTGGAATAAATCTCCTGCTTCAGTCTCCTTCTGCAGGATGCATTTTAAACTCACACTACTTCTAACATATTATTAAGCCTGCAGACATTGTCATGTAGATTTTAACAGGACCAAAGTGCTCTAGTGAGATGAAACAAATATTTTTGTTTCTTTTTAGCAAACACTCCAGTAGGGTAGGGGGTAAAAACAAAGAGTATAATCAACACATAACTGCTGTTTAGTATAGTGGAGGATCTGTCATTCTGTGGGCTTTTTAGTGAACTCAAATGGATCTTCACACAGATGTATTTTATTTTGTGAAAGAAAAGACTAATCAGGGCTTCTACTTGTTATATCAGGCTAGAAAATGTAAAAAATAAAATCTTTCTTAATGTGCAAACTGTTCCTTCTCAAAGTTGGATTTGCGTGGATTTTTCAGTGTGAGATTTTGACCCTTCCTTCATGTTTACTAGTGCCGTGGTGGGAGAATTGATGCTGTCAATACCACAGTAAACATGAATGATGCCTATTAGTCTCGCTGCCTAAATAACCTTATAAAAGCTTGTGACGAGCATTAAAAACACAGAGAACCATGACACACTGACTGACAGTGTTCTTCTATCACTCATATCAGGTATTATAAATGGGAATGAAAGCCCGTCAGGATGCATTACAGCCACACTCTGACTAACCAGCCCTGCACCTGCATCTGCACACTGATAATGTGAAACGGGCTCAGGGGAAATGACAGAGCCGTCAACAGGATTTAAAAGCCATTCTATTGACCTTTTTTTGCAACAATGATTATTTGGAAGCGTCAGCAGTCGAACAATCGCTAAAAGCTTCTGCAAGCAGGACATCAAGAGACAATAAAGTAGGACATGATTAAATGTTAGAGGTTAGTGTTGAGAACAGAGACTCACCGACTTCTGTTTCTGTTTAGCTGGGCCACCTATGGCATCATTCAAGCAAAAAGAGACAAAAACAAAGCACAAAAAATACAGCTTGTTTAGTTATTGACAGGTTAGATCAGAGGAATATACAGGAGAGGGGATGTTATTATTAGGGGTAGCATTTCTAGCACAGAAACACACATTCAAACTTATCTCAGCAGAATAATTGAGAAGGAGTCTCCCAGGGCCAAACAGGGTTAGATTTGGAAGGCAGAGCAGCTGGGAGGGTTAAAATGCGAGCAATTAGTGAAAAACGGGGAGGAGAGGCAGAGAGGTAACCCCTAACCCGCCTTTTAAAGGTCAAGTTTAGGAAGGTTGGAGGATGGAGGCCACAGCAAGATGTTCCAGGGAGTCTTGCTTAATGTTACCTTCTTAAAGAAGGGCAGACGGTGGGCGTTTGCCTGGGGGGAAGTTACGCTGCCTGACACGCCCTTGGGGGAGCGAGGGTCACCCTGGGACTCAGGGGGCTCCTCGGCATCCAGGTCGAGAGGGTCAATGTCAAAGGCTGCCATTGACGTGTCCACGGGAGCTAATGGTGGGGCGGACCGTTCCGACAGAAAGAGGGGAAGGAAGAGAAAGCAGGATGAAAAAATGTGAAAGAAAAAAGAAAACATAACAAAGGGACACTGAAAGGAGGAAAAGGCATGTGAGAGGCCCCCAGAGGGAAGCAAAAGATGGCATAAACTGTAATGGAAAAGTTATAAAAAAAAAAAAAAGAACACAACAGAACATCATGAGGCGCGGTGCAGATGTCAGGTGTTACAGCGAGAAGAACCGAGGTGAATTCAGTGTGAACACAGCTAAACTTGAAGTGTCAATGTGCAGGAAGTGGGAAACAGGAGAGGCTGCGAGAAAAAGCATACGGCAGGAGAGAAGAAATCAAGCTAAGTGGCGGCGTGAGAGGGGTGGGGGTCTAGTTTTAAAGGGTCCACTCTAGATTCTGGGAGGAAAAGGACTTCAGATGATTGTTAAAGAATATTTATATAACAAACTGGAAACAAAGGAAACTGCTGACAGCTGCAGGAACCAAAAACATGCAATAATCCACCTGATTTTGGAAGGAACAACTCTCTGCTAAGGATTCGGATAAATAACTTCTCAAAAATACAAACTTCATTCCTAATTTCAAGAGGATTTCGGTGTTTTGTCTACAATCTTCCACTCTGAGCTTTTACTGATTCATGAGAGTAATTTTTTTTTTTGTTACAATTACTGATCAACATATAACTACATGATCTTTAGAACTGAGAACTGCACCAAATGGTTTGTTTGACAGAACTTACAAACATTAAGAGGTATGAGAAGGTCCAAAGACTTCAGTGAAGATCTATGAACACCTGCGATCTAGACTGAAAATTGCAGCTGCCCACATGGAGCAGAGAAATGCCTTATAAAGAAATATTTTACAGTCACCAAAAACAGGGTAATAAATCCATTTGGAGGAGGGAAGGTGATAATGGTAAAGCTTGGTAGTGGCAGCTGTGGGGCTGACACACTTTTACAACAGCAAAACGAGGAAGTTGGAGGATTGTTAGGATTTCTAAAATGGTCTTTATATGAAGCCCTGAAATAAGACATATAGAAAATCTAACATGGGTCCAATCTGGAACCCTGTCAGTCTAAATCAACTTTAATAGCTCTGTAAAGGGATTCTATCTAAATATTTGTAACAGTGCAAATAATATATCAATATTGCATGCATTTGTTCGTTGTGGGATCATTCAAATGTGAATATGTGTTTTTGAGACCTCTACATCAGCAGTGTGATGTTTATGTTCTTGAAAGCCCTAACCCTAAGAATCTGACACATGTAGTGAATAGAAAATCTATTATAGATTATACAGAAATGCCTAATGTATCACAAATGATGCAAATAATTATAGAAAATGTATATCTATTTATTCGACAGAAAGTTCAAATAAAAAATCTAATTTTGTGACAATCAGGCTTTAAAGGGTTGAGAACTCCTGACTATGTCAGTAAATCCAAATTTCCACTCAAAACTTTAGTTTTAGATGTCTGAACACAATCTTCGAGGCTCCATCTGTTAAAAAAAAACTGTAAAAAATCCACAATACTTTTTTTATGTTTTGATTTATTTTTGTTTTAGCAGCTCTGCAGAGACACAGCGATGCAGACTCACACAAGCCAGACATACTTAACAACTCTAATGAGCATTGCCTGCTCTCATATCTATTTCAGTCGCGCACTGAGTGCTAATGACAGACCTCTGAAGACCTCTTTCACTTCTCACAGGAACCCACTGAGACGTGCCGTGATTCATCATCATGCTTGGATAACTACCGACTTATTAACATCTTCATTTAAGTAATCAAGCGACCGTCTCATTTCTTAGCAAACAAAGCAGGATGTTTTTTGACCTTACCTGTTCCTGGCGGGGTGGGCCTGCGAGTTCCTGCGGCGACATCCAGACTCGAACTTCCTCCAGATTTACTGTAAACGTAAAAGGTTAAAATCCATGTTTTTAATTCATATTCTAAATAACCACGGTTACTCAGAGTAAATGTCTGATAAAGGCCAGTGAGTATGCACTGAAGAAGCACAGAGAAATAAAGTGACTCACAGCTGTGCTTCTGTCTATTTTAGTATGTTTTACAGAACCTGGTGGATCAGGAGTGATTCATGTTTGACCCCTTTTTGAAAAGCGGGGCTGCTATTTGCGCTGCTGGTTGTGTAGACACAAAGGACCTTTCATGGTTACCTGGAGCTGAGCCGATTTTGTCTCATTCGCTGCTCCTGCAGCAGGCGGGTGTTCTCCAGTTTGACCGGGCTGGGAATGAAACCCACCTCACAGCCCTCCTTTACCAGGCGTCCGATCCACCAGTCGTTGTTATACTTCTGCACAAATTTAAAACAACCGGACATCAGTAGGCAGCAACAGATAAAACGTGATGGAGCAGAGGTACAATTGAAGTAACAAAGGTTTTAATTCATTTTCATTAGATTTTGTAAAACAAGAACCAAAAACCTTTAAAACTTTTATTTCCTGAGACAAATCAAACCAATGGAGTGGATAAATGTGAAATGCACAGATTTATTTTCCAAATCTGACAAAAATGTAAAAAAAAAAAAAACAAGACATGAGAATATGGATTCTGACTTTGTTGACATTCGCGCTCACGACGCTACGGAAGCCGGCAGACCAAACCAGATGAAAGTGCGCATTCAGCGTCTGCTCTGCCAATAATGCAAGCGTAGAAGAAGAAATGTGCTATTTACCTGTGCAAAGAAAGAAACAACGAAAGAAAAATGTCTGAGGACTTCAGTGTTTTGGAAGAGCATGAGTTCTTTGCCGAGCTGAATGCGCTGGTTTGGTCTGCCGGCTTCCGTAGCGTCGTGAGCGCACATGTGCGCGCTTTCAGGAAATCCTATACACTACTGTTTATGCTCTAAAAACATTCTAAATGACTTCGTTTCGAGTAAATTCTGGATGCTACCCACTCAGGACACTTGAAATACATTGGACGAGCAGTATGGAGGAATATTGACACGTTTTTTGTGGACTTTTATGGACCTTTCTGTCTCGGTCACCATAGACCTCCATTATTTGAATGTCAGCAGACAGCAAGAAGCCTCCCAGATCTCCAGATGCATTTGAGATATCAAAAAAGTACTCCAGAGTGTTGTTCAGCATGGGGGTGAGTAGAAAATGAAGGCTAATCATGTTTTGGGTGTACTATTCCTTTAAGCTAAGTTTGGAATACAAGCAGAAAGTCTGTGAACTTAAGTTTCTAAGAACTGTCATAATTAATTGATTCAATTGAATGATAACTTTGACAGGGTCATCCTAATTAGCCCACATAGCCAGACTAACCTTTGTCGTAAACACGGAATATTAGTCCAGAAAGCTGCAGACAAAGTCTGAGTTCAAAGGTGGGACCAGGGTGAGACTAACACCATCAGTAAATGGTAAATGGTAAATGGCATGTACTAAAATAGCGCCTTTATTCAAGTTAGGAGACTTGACCAAAGCGCTTTACACTACATTCATTCACCCATTCACGCACACACTCACACACTGAATAAACAGGTTAGAACCAATCAGATAACTCCTGGATGTCTTTTCTAAAAAGAAAAAGTCTTGGATCAGCTAATTAGAGATCCATTCAGCTCATTCAGAACATAACTAAATAAATCATTCAAACATTGCTCAATTGCAGCTTCCATCTTGAATGTTATGGTTACATAAAAGCTCTGCTGCTGGACAGGCCTAGGCAGGCCTAGACTGCCCAGCTGCAATGCCTAACACTGCAATGAATTGGTGGAAGTCAGTCTAACTGAAAGGACTGGAGATATATTTAGGTGCGTTCATCTTTGCAAAGCTTTTCTCCTGCAGAGCAAAAGCATCCCACAGCATGATCCTGCCACCAGTGGTCACAGTACCTTCAATGTTCAAATATAGTCCCATCTGACCTGAATCATGTCTGCTGCCTGGCTAGAGACAAACTGCAGCATCCATATTTAACGATTAATGAATCTTTCCCATGATCCATAAAGACCAGGTTTGGGTCAAAATAATTCTCAGCTTCAGCTTGACTCTTACTTTAGAGCTACCATGAGTCTCTTGGTTTTATCTTTTATTATGCTCTCCTTTTTCAATGTGCCATTTTAAGTAGATTAGGAAACTATTTTATATCCTAACCTTCATCCATTCTTCACAGCTTCATCCCTACAGACTCTGGTCTGTTCCCTTACTGTGATGGGGCTGTTTGTTCCCCAGTGCTCTGTAAGCAAACCTTTGATTCCTTTTAAGAACATCTAATATTAAAGATGAACACTGGACTAGACTAGGAAATCACATCCAGATCTAATGGAAGGGTTTAAATGGGGCAAATAAAATGCACTCCAAAATGTCCAGATTGTCAAAAAGAGAACAAAACAAAAACTACGACCTCCAAATTATAATTTGTAACTGATTAAAGATTACTTTTACTCATTGCATCTTAACAGGATACCTTATTGTCCTCCCTCCTTTCATGATCAAAAATATGCAAAGCTTTAATATTTCTTTACTGTTTCATTCTGCAGGATCAAATTTTCTTCTTTTAAAAAAGCCTTCAGTGTTTCTAACTGTGTTTCAAAGTTGTTATCTAGGCTTTATTTTCCCTTTTAGCCTCTTAAGGCCACTCTTTGTTTGTAAAGCAGTTTGGGCAGCATGTGATTCAAAATAAATGATAAGGAATAAAATCCGGCTAACACCTGATATAACCAATTATAGCCTGGTTTGGAATTAAACTGTTGGTGCTTAAAGACTTTATGTTTGTAACATTGTGTTATTTCTAGATTTAATTTAATAAATGTAAAGACATTTTGTTTTTCTAATGATGCATTATTTTTAGGTGCCATAACAAGTGGAAATTAGTGAAAAAGTAACCTGTGCAAAAACAAACAAACTTAAAAGGCTTCAGGAAGCGCTGAGAGCTATTCTATAGGACCACTTTGGATGAACGTTTGGCACCTTGAGAGGAAAATACAAAGACACAATGATTCATTGGTAATTTGAGACTTATACAACATATAAACATGAAACTTGAGCCTTTTGTGTAATTCTTTCCATTTTTTTCTTTCTTCTGTAAACTGGAGCAGCTATTCCTTACTGCACTGCAGCTTCTGTTGCTACCAACACCCACTCGTGGCCTTCCATGGTTTTGATGGAGCGTGGCAGTGCAGCATGATACTGCAATGCAAAAAAAAAACTCATTGGCTTTCCACCCACTATCACTACAAGTTGTTTTATGGCACAGAAGCCCAAAGCCCTGATCCTGACATCCTTTTCACTGCATCATCCAGGCTGCTCTGACTCCACACTAACATTACATTTGTGGACTCAGCTGCAGAGATCACAGCCTGATGACATTTTGGAAAAAAGTTACAACGTTATGTTCTCTAAAGAATTGACAGAATTTTAAAAGACTGTATTGAAAGTCATGTTCAAACCTCTTTGATGTGCAAGAAGTCTTTGGCTTCGAAGGAAATGGCCATGCCCTGCACAGGAACATCATCATTGGGACCTGGGTTATAACCGACATTGGTGCGCACAGCAAACGCCACTGGTTTGGTCTGGAATCACATCACCAGGAGCAGATATAAATATGCTGGGAGCGGCTTAACTGCATACAGATTTCAAGGCACACAGGTCAACAAGGGCCATAACATTATCCTACTGATAACTGACCTTTGCTTTCTCTAGTGTGGCAAGAGCCTGTCTGTCGGCCTCCTTCCTCAGAGCCTCGGGGTCCTCCTCCAGGGACACGTCAGAGTCCGACGGCCGGCTGGTGTAGGAGTCTGCAGAGCCCTGAAATTCACAGCATACCTTATAAAAGTGAAACTTTTAGCAAGTGGGAGTAACTGTCTGTAAATCACACCTTGCTACCATAACAAACATGTATTTCATCTACTAGGTTTATGGTTCTTCACTCATACCATACTTTAAGTGTTTTAATAATATATATTTTTAGAAGTTTCTTTCACATGAAATTGTTACTTAGTGATTACCGGTTTTTATGTGTTTGTGTTTTATTTTATTCTTTAAACAAATGTCAGAAGTTACATATTACTGCATCTTTTTTTCCTTTTCTTATGATGTTGAGCAACTAGATCAGTTACTAGGTACTTTTTCACCAATGACCTATTCACTCTTACCCGAGTCATGTCTTGGAAGGCTACTTTTTACTTTTACTTGAATAAGTAAATATGATGAAGCAGCACTGGTATAACTTGAAGACAATTTTTAGATACTCTACCCACCACTGAATATTTCACGCTTAAAGAATACAGAGAGAGGGATTTTTTTGTAGCCTGGCCGGCTTCACAGACTTCCACAGCACATAAATCAGTCTGGTATGGCTCAGACTCTCTGGTCTATAACAGACTGGACCGATTCCAGCACGGGAGGTAGGAGTAAAGGCTTGCCTTTGAATTACCCATAATGCAACTAGGCTTTATATCAAGAGTGCAACTGCAGTGGAGCGATTTTTATTGATGTCAAATGAGTTAGATACATCTTTAAAACTTAAAACTACCGTTCATTTGAAAAATACATTATGGGTCACATCCAGAGTTCTGATCTGACTGGTTCTAACTTTGTTAGTTCTGCCCTGGTCCTGCATTTGAAATCAGGCTCCTCCTGCTTCTCTATGGACAGATACACCTTTAACCATTTTTCAATCTTAAATAATCCTTATTGCCTTCTTCTTTATGCCACCCTATCTTCATGTTATGCTGCAGGGTTTTATATTTTTTTAATTTGCATTTCCATTACATCGTTTGTGTCACACATAGTTCCCTCTAGGAAAAATTAAGAGAAATGATGATGCGACTAATTGCCTGATATTTATTTATTTTATCGTAAAAAAATATTTTTTGCAGTCGGAACTAATGTTCTCATCCAGTGTTGCTCTCCAGACCTGGTTCCATGTTGCAAAAACACATTATGTTTACGCTCTAGGGAATAAAAAGTAATTGAATCCATCTGAATGCAGCGAATCAGTAAGGTGATTAGTGCTTTCCAAATAGTGCTGGCAGTAAGGAAGGAGATAGAAAGAGGAAGCAGGAGGCTTTCTACCGGATGCTTCCTATGTGCCTTTGTAGGGACAGAAAACTTTACTAATAAAAAAAAAAAAAACACTATTTTTTCATGTGCACTATGACTTAGACTTAGACAACTTTTATTGTCATGTTGTATACACAGAGTGTATACAAAACAAAATTTCATTTTGCACAGCTCTCATGACAGTTTCCATTTCTTACAGTACAGCAGTGAACAAATGTAAACCATGTGGGAGAAATACAAACTGGACACACATTCAAATGTTTTAGGTTTTATAATTGAGAGCTTGAACCATTCAATACATTTTTGTAATAAATTTTTTTGTAGTTTTTTCAGAAGTCTATAGTTCAGGATTTGACAAATGTCAGTCGTGCATTTCCTTCCTGTAATGACGTCACGTCAGGAAGGCTGAAGTCTGCCCATATTCAGCAGAGCAGTCCAGTATTACTATTGACCCTATGAAAGGTAAAGAGGAAGGAGTTGGAGCTACAATTGAATGTATTCAGGTTAAGACAGAATAGTCTAGAACCTGTGTTTAAATTTCACAGGTGTAGTAAAAAAAATTATTTCATTATTTTTTATTTTGATTATTTTAGGTACTACTAATTTGAAAACAGTTGATTTATTGAAAAAGTATTTTTTCAAGCTTCTTATAATCCTTTTTTCCTCCAATGAATAAATAACCTTTTTTAACTGGTTTAATTTCAGATTATCCTGCATTTAAAAGACATATACTCAATTCAGGCCTTTTAACATGTCTATACCAGGAGCCAGCACAGCAAACCATCTGAGTTTTAAAGGCTGGCTCAGGTGAACATAAAGAAACACAAAAGGCCCCCCATATTGCTTGTAAGGTGACTCTAAATATTCTGCACTGACAGTGATGCATAACAATTGCCTTGCAGTGTATCCAAGGTCTGAAACCATCCGAATGCACCAAAGATTCAGTGTGTGGGTGCCTGAAGTAGAAACAATACCACGGAGCGGGAACTCTTTATAATATCAGCTAGGATATAAAATTCTCATGAAGTGGCTAAAGTTTCCAGCACATTCACCACTCAGGTACGGTAACTTGACCCTCTCCTGCTGACCCTGATACAGAAAAGTATGCCGGGATAAAAAGCTGCACGTCCTGTGAGCCTGGTCCCAATACACTCTTCGAATATGAAGAGTTTAAGTGTTCAATTTATGTAACCGTCCCACTTGTGCTCTAGTTTTTTTGTTGTGTGTTTTTTAGCTGACAGGCTGCTGCTGCCGCTTTGTAGGAGGTAGTGACAAGAATGCGGGACAGCTGAATGTGCCAGGCAGAAGAAGTGACTCACTAGGTGTAGGCTTTTTAAAATAGTTCTAACAAAGATGACATAAGCCATATGCGATGCTTATTAAGAAAATTCCTCGTCACACATTTCTCTCAAACGTCTGCCACCAGATATTCTTCTGAAGTTTGTTTTAAAACAAATCCAATCTATTTTTTTTTTGTCTGACACACATAGTTCTGAATTGTGAAAAGGACTTATTGTTAATATGAGTCAATTTTAAAATTTCGTAGGCCTCAGTAGCTATACTGGCTAATAGCATCCCAATCATGAAGCACAGTGTTGGCAGGATAATGCTGTAGAAAAAAGGCAACAATTCATTATCTCTACGCAAAGGAGAAGATAAAACAAAGATTTGTATTTATCTATACACTGTATACAAACTTTAAGAATGATTTCACTATTTTTAAATTTGTACTGCCTAATTATGTTCAGAACTTTCAACAGGTGGATTTTTAAAGTTCTCCATAAATAAAGCTGGTGTAACGATTCCGTCTTTTCTGGACTTCTATTTAAAGTTATGTCTAAGTTTAACTTACACTTTGATTAATGTCATTCTGTGTTTTCTCGGTCATTGGTTTCTTATCTATTTTGTGTTATTTTTCAACCAGTGTTGTATTTTTTGAGTTATTCTCTGTTGCTTCCTTGTGCCAGTCTCCTTTCCCCTAGCTCCCTTCTAGTTACTTCTATCCACACCTGCTCCCTATCAGCTGATTAGCCCATCCTTTGTTCTGTCTCCTCTATTACGCCTCCTGGGCAGTTACTCATTGCTGGATCCTCTTCATTACTTTACTCCATAAGTTAGTATCCCTGAGCGTCTCCTCGTTTTTGATTCCTTGGTTCTTTGCCTGTTGTTTCTGGATTATTTGCTTCTGTACTATCAACAACTCTCTGCCTGCTCTACTTCCTTCTTCTCCTGGTAGCTAGTATGATATACCATATGGTGAATGATGCAATGATATTTTAGAAATTAAGTATAGCCTGAAACCATTTTGCAATGAGAACTAAATCCTGAGTGACATCCTGTCATAGTTTGAAACAAGGTTTTCAAAGAAAAACTTCTTTTCTACAAAATACCCCTTTGCAGCACTGTAAACACCAAATCCCCAAATGAAGGCTGGATTGGAGGGTTTACGAAATCTTTCGGGTCCCAGGTCAGCAAAGCTCTATCGGCCCATTACATACAGCATTAAAATAAAAAGGCTGAGGATATGGCGAAATATAGCTCAGATACATAGGGGATATAGGGTGAGTAGATAAAAAAAAAAAAAAAAAAAAAAAAAAAAAAAAAAAAAAAAAAAAAACAGGGGTGGTTTTGAGGGACAGTTTGAGGTTGCAGCTTTTCTAGGTGTGTGTTTCTTGTATGGCTGCTTTACATTGTACTAAACATTCGTAAGAAATTGAAAAATAACTTTGGTAAACTTTACAAAAAGCTTTTTGACTATGACATCTTACTGCCTTCATGCTGCTATAGGGTGTATTTTATCTTCATTGTCGTGGCTAACATTTTCTATAATTAAATGAGTTCCGTTATATTTTATTCGTTTATCTTCATTAAAATTTATTACCTGTTCTGTTTTAGTTCAAAAGCATCATGTGATTGATTCATGACACAGAATGCACTTGGAATTTTGATTGACAGTCAGAGCGGCTCTTAAGGAACAACTGCTGCTCTGACACATAAAAAGAAGTTGAAGTTATTTATTACTTGTGTGGTCCCAAGGTAATGCTTATCCCGCCCAAAAGGAGCTTTAGTGTTTGTTCTCAGTGGAAGTAGAGTGAAAAACTCAACTTTTTTTGGAAAAGTCATTAAAGTCTATTGACACAAAAGGAGCCAGCTGTACTGTAATCCACAGAGTCATTCCCCTGAAAGGACCACCTGTCTTCTGATAATTCCCACAACGTCTGAGCCACAGTGTTTAGGCCTAGTTAGATATCACCAATTGGAGACAGAATCTCTGTTTTAGCATAAAGATCCTAGACAAGCGAGTTCACTGCAGCGCTCATAGCCTGTTTAATGCCATCGGTGAATGGCTTTTTGTTAATAGTCAGAATGTCCCTTTAAATGTGCTGACCTTCTGTATACAAAGATCATTGTGTCCTCAGTTCTTTAACCTGCTCTTTGGCAAGGGACAAATTTTTAGTTTTTATATTATGAGCCTTTAGAGAGCTACTGGGAGCCACAATTCTGGGCTGGAGAGCACACTGCAAAAAACATCTACAAATAAGTTGACATTTCTTAAATTAAGTGTATTTACCCTTAATTTGAGTAGGTAAATAAGATGATTTACAATGGAATGGAAAAGCATAATCTTATAATAATAGAGTTAATATGGTCTTCAAATAATTGTTTTTTGTTTTCTTACTTTAATTGCAAATTGTCTTGTTCCATTGGCAAAGTGTCTCACTTATCTCCTCAATTAAAGAAAA